CATAGCAACCCTGTACAGGGTTTCCGAGGCTGTAAATCTTTACGGGAGCAGAAAGCCTCATCTTTCTCCCGCGGAGCAGCTGGTAGTTTCGAACTGCTGATCTTAAGGTTTGCAGCCCTATTCGTAACCACTATGCTACTATAAAACGTAAGAGACTATTATTATTTAAGAAAAGCAGTAACTAAGATGGTGGTTCCAGTAGACGTGCAGTGAGGAACTCCATCACCAACAACACAGAATACCCGACCAAGCAGGCTCAGGGGATGGTGCCAGAACTGTGAACCACATATAAAGGAATATTTAGAAGCTTGGAAGGCTTACAGCTAGGGGAATTTGTAGCAGAATCAAGAAATCCATTGCTTTCTAATTCAAGACGCTCAGCTACTCCTGGAGCCGCCATCTTGAGAGAGACCAAGTTGGGGTAGGATCAGAATAGCCACAAATGCCTGACAGAACCGCGGAGATACAGGTGTGGGCATTCTTTTTTGGTATTTGTTCATTGGTCTCTCACTGTGTGAGCACCTCCATTCTGGTGACTAGAGGGGATGCCTGAAAAATGGACACCCCATCGCCACCCCTGGAGGGTTCTACTACGCATGCTCACAGATCTCCTCAAAGTTTAAAGTGACAGTTTCCATCTAAAACCAAATGGCCACCTCTCGTCTGTCAGTTTGTCATACTGTGGTGGCTTGTGAGTTGCTGTGATTCTGAAAGCTATACTACTGGTATTTTAAATACCAACAGGGTCACCCATGGTGTACAGGATTCAGACGAGCTCCAGACAAAGACAGACTAGGAAGAAAGAATGATGAACTACTTCTGAATATTTAGTCACTAAAAACCTTATGAATAGCAGAGAAACACTGTCAGATATAATTCTGGGAAATGAACCCCTCAGGTTGGAAGGCACTCAAAATGCGCCTGGGGAAGAGCTGCCTCCTCAAAGTAGAGTTGACCATGATAACGTGAATGGAGTAAAGCCCATGGGAGAAAAGCCCGTGGGACCTTCATTTGCTGATGGGGCACAACTCAAAATGAAAAGAAACAGCTGTAAACATTCTTTGAAAATCGGAACATGGAATGTATGAAGTATGAATCTGGGAAAATTTGAAGTTGTCAAAAATGAAATGGAACGCATTGTATTGGCCATTTTGAATCTGACTGGTCATTTTGAATCTGACAACCACATGGTTTGGTATTGGCCATTTTGAATCTGACAACCACATGGTTTACTATACCATGAATGACAAATTGAAGAGGAATGGTGTTGCGTTCATCGTCAAAAGGAAAATATCAATATCAGTCATGAGGTACAACGCTGTCTGTGATAAGATAATATCCATGCGCCTACAGGGAAGCCCAGCTAATACCACTATTACTCAGATTTATGCACCAACCATTAAAGCCAGTGAGGATGAAAGAGAAGAATTCTACCAACTTCTTCAATTTGAAAATGATCAAACATGCAATCAAGATCATTACTGATGATTGGAATGCAAAGTTTGGGAGCAAAGAGGAAGGATCAGTAGTTGGAAAATATGGCCTTGGTGATAGAAATGATGCTGGAGACACATGATAGAATTCTGCAAAACCAGTGATTTGTTCATTTCAAATACCTTGTTTAGACAGCATAACAGACGACTATACACATGGACCTTACCAGATGGAATACATAGAAATCAAATTGACTACATCTGCAGAAAGAGACAATGGAAAAGCTCCATATCATTAGTGAAAACAAGGCCAGGGGCAGACTGGAACAGACCATCAATTACTCATATGCAAGTTCAAACTAAAGCTGAAGAAAATGAAAGCAAGTCTATGAGAGCCAAAATATGACCTTGAATATATCCCACCTGAATTTAGAGATCTTCTGAAGCTGAAGGACAGATTTGATACATTCAACACTAAAGACCAAGGACCAGAAGAGTTGTGGGATAACATCAAGAACATCACACATGAAGAAAGCAAAAAGTCATTGAGAAGACAAGAAAGAAGGAAGAGGTCAAAATGGATGTCAGTGTAGAGATGCTAAAGCACA